AGAAGGATGCTTTCTTATATATTGAATATCACAATTAAACCCTACTTTACATCATTAGTTATTTATTAGTTATTAAAATTATCTATTTATTTCAATTGACTATTAGTGACAGATAAGCAAATTGAACGTCGTTGTTGTGATTAAAGTATTGCTTTTCTAAGGTCTTAGTCCGTAATTCAAAACTACTCCCTGTGGGATCGATATCTAGGACTCCATTAGAGCCCTATATTACTTGAGCGATATGTATACTTGCGTTGATAAGTGTGACTTTACATTATTGAATATTTAATACGTCCATATTTATCTTATATTTTATTGTATATATAAAGTCGCTGTCAATAAGACAAATGCAATTAAAAGGTTTAAACAAGGTAATTCATCAATCAAAAGGAAAAATGGTTTAGGGCCTTCATCAATAGCAACAAGAAACTTAATTTGAAAACTCTAAGGACATATTTTTATGCTAAAATTAGTTTCAAAAATTGAATAAGAAAGTTTTCTTAATTAATTGAAATTTTTTTAGGATAAGATATTTATTCTCCAAAGCAAATTTTTAAAAATAAGGATTATGTCAATGTCTCAAACTCATACTAAATAAAAAATAATATTATGGTCACTACTCTTTGTTAGAAGAAGTGCGTGATTCACAAATGACTTTTTAAAGTTTAAAGTCATTAAACGTAATTCATAATATTTATTTTAAAAATTAGAAATCATAGAAGCAAGAAGTTTAGCCTAGCATGGTATCACAAGAAATAAAACAAGCAAGTCCATTTCACAAATGATACAACCAGTTTACAAAGTTTGAAAATAAGAGAAGAATATAATTGACACAATAGAACCAATGATTGAAAGAAGCTTCAAGTTCTTTTAATTATTCGATCTCCTTGATCCACCAAACGAAGTAAATAACATACTTACACTCTTTACAACGGTCTCACTCACTCACTCAATCACTCTAGGCACTCTTTAGACTCCTAAAACACTAAATATCCTCTTTAAACTCTTCTGGAACTGCCTTTAAGTAATCCCACTCCAAACTATTCATCCAAGATTTTGAATTTTAGCCTTCAATAACTTTCATGTTGAAGTCATTACGTTGCAGCTTTGCAATTGACACCGTGACCCTTAAATTTTGTGCTAAGGCACTGGAGGCGTGATTTTGCGACTCGGGGTTTATGGAACAGTAGCATTATCTTCTCTATCTTTTGATTTTTAAGGATAGCCTCGACACAACTGTGTATTGAAAACAGTGGTGCTGAATCAATTTCATCCATCTGTTTTTAGATGATGCAGTGTCACTTACTTTGGGTGTTGTGACGCTGAATGTGGTGTCGCAGCTTTGAACATTTGGCTCATAAGCATTAAGCTCTCAAAAAAAAAATGCACTTGGGGGTTTTAGCCATGCCGCTTAGGTGCTCTAACTGAATGTGGTGTCGCAGCTTTGAACATTTGACTCATAAGCATTAAGCTCTAAAAAAAAAATGTACTTGGGGGTTTTAGCCATGCCGCTTAGGTGCTCTAAGTTTGCGCTGAAACACTCTAATGAACTTCGTCCTTTTTTTTTTTTTTTGAGTTTTAAAGAGCTGAACAAGATCAAACAAAAACTTGTTTAAGTTTGCGCTGAAACACTCTAATGAACTTCGTCAAATCTTCATAATTTTGTTCTTAGGGACTTTCCTGCACACAACATACATAATTATGCATACATTACAGAAAACTAAGAAGTATAAATAACTATTTTTTAGAAGTTTTCATTATTTTTCTTGCTCAACAATCATAGGTTGTTTTATAGAATTGGTTTGTTTTTACGATGCTAATTATGATGATATAACATTTTACCAAAAGGTGGATTGGAAAACACATTATATCCATTTGCCTTGAAAAGGGATGGTCATCCTCGAGGAAGATTATGACCATTTTATAGACAATCAAAATTAGTTATAACTTTAGATATAAGAGTTAGAGACATAGGCGATAAGATCCATCTGATCTCATTAGTCTACATCCATTATTCTTTATATCTCGGATCCTTTACTTGAAAATGGGTGCTTTTTAATCTCATTCTACATATTTCAAACTCCTTCGAGATTCCTCCTCAAGATCAATTATGTCCATCATCTCTAGCTTCTTTATATACATTAAAAACGAAACTCTCAAGTAATAAAATATACTAACTAAATTAAATTGGTTATTAGTGATTTAAATTAAAACATTCATTAATTTTGAAGTTGAACACATGCTAATCAAACCTAAAAATTGATCGTTATATTTTGATTAGATTAGCCTTGCTAATTAACATAGAAAAAATTAGTTCTTGTGATCATATCATCAGGCATCCTAAGATCTAGTTGTAATACAAATTTCTCTTCTTTTACTATGAAGAGTAATGTAATGATGAGTTGAAATTAGCGTGGTAGATGTATTAACGCACATAAGGGTAGAAATATTTATGTTTATATATGCCTATTAGCATGTTAGTAAATAATTGTACCAAACCCAACTAAATAGAAAAATTGGGTTCATTTTCATCTGATTATAATATTCAGATTGGAGTTTAATCAATTATGAAGACTCTATTATTTCTATTAGGTTAAAGTTGACTCATGATTGTTAATATTTGTGTTAAATTAATTGGGTTAAATGAGTCATATCTATGTTAACTAGGATATATTGATACAAAAATTACATGATCTATAAAATAAATGAGTCAGGAAAATCAATTCAAGTGTAATTTATTTATTTTATTTTATTTATTTATTTATTTATTTTTTTGAGTTAGTCCAGGTCAGTTTCTGAGTCAACTTTAGGTCAAATATTTTGACCATCTAATGAATAAGTTAAATGGGATTGAGAATTTTGGATAAACCCTGAACCTAACCTGTCAATCGGATTTGACATATCTGTTGGGCTCTTCGACTAACTAAATTGCTACTCAGCCCATTGATGTGAAAGGCCGTACAAAAATGTGTAAGATGTAATTGTCATTGGTGCTTCTTTGATCTTGCATTTTTATATTTTAGCTAGGAAAGCCTATAAATAATGCTATTTGTTGTCCGGTAGGAAACATTTCAAGCTACATTGACAATAGAGCATGCAATTATTTTATTTTTAGTGGATTCTAATTCAATAATGTTAAAGAGTTTTGTTTCTAAAATATACATTTGATATAAAAGAAACATCAATCTCAACATCTTGATAATAATTTTTTTACAATGCTGAAGAATATGGTTGTAAATGAGTGGAGCTTGAGCTAGTTTGGACTTGTTCAAAATTGATTTGTGTATAAACGTACTCTTGAATAATGTGTTCATGTACTAAAATTTACTCATTTAAATTAATTAAAAAAAATAAATATATTTGTTAGAATTCTAACTTGCACAATTTCCATGCAATAAAAAAACTAAAATCATATACCACACTAATTATAATGATTTGAATTTAAATATACATATACAAAATATATTTTTATAGAAATAATATATATCTTTCTTTTTTTTTTTTTTTGAGTTTTAAAGAGCTGAACAAGATCAAACAAAAACTTGTTTTTATTTGACTCATTTATAATTTAAGCTTAAAAAAATGTTCGGCTCGCTACCTAAAAACAATTCAAACAAGTACTTAACAAGCCGAGCACGAGCTACCTGCAAAGGAGCTTTTTTGACAACCCTAACTAACTGTACACATAAATCTTTCCTTTCAACTGAAACTTTCAAGATGGAACAACAAATCAATATGGACAAATTTGAAGAGTTTAGAGTAAACAATGGGCATGCAATATGATGAAACATCAGCTCAATGTAAGAGTTCATCTGCCGAATTCCAAATGAGGAAAGCTGTCCCAAATTAAATAAAGGCCTGACAGACATAAATAACAACTAAAAAAAGCCTTTGATGAACTTATCATATGTAATTTATTATATCATGTAAAATTGTGTTTTTTTAACATGTTGAAGATGGAATTATCATATGGAAAATTTTGATTTCAGAATATCTACCATACTATTCAGTCTATATAAGAAAAGTTTCATTCAAAGGTTTGATCTTTATTCAAATAAATAAATTTGAAAGTATCCAACTATTTTGTGAACCAAACAAACTGCACAAATCATATTTAATTTAATTCATTGTCATCTCATTTCCATTCCAAATTACTTTTCCTTTTCTCACTCTAAACCAAACAAAACCTTAGTTTAACTAGTCCCAGTAAATCTGACAGAAACGTATAAAAAATCTTTAAAAACTCTAATCATAAGCTGCAATAAAACGCCCAAATTCCAGTTCACAATCGACAAATGTTGCAGTTAGTGCCTCCAATACATTCTCTTGCAAGAGATTCCAAGAGACCGCCTCATCTGGCAACAGAAACAGAAACAGAAACAAATCATTATTAAGCAATAAAGTACACAACAAAAAGAGGGGAAATATTTACATACAGAATACGCATGCATAGCTGCGAGCGTAATAACCCCTCAATAACCTCTGTTTCACGGCTATTAGGGGGTTATTGGGAGGTTATTGAGGTATTAATTTCAATAACATATAATCTCAATAACCTTTTAATAATCTTCGCGGGTTCCATTTCAATGTTATTCATATGTTATTATGGAGGTATTGTGGGGTTAATGGAATACGCATGCAGAGCTGCGTGCGGTATGAAAATATTTCCCCAAAAGAGGGATCTTACCCTTCAAAAGGCATTCCTTGCATCTCACTTGAACTTCTCTTTGATTTGTGCTTTGATTTCTTGTCCCGCTTTTTACCACTGTAGAGATGCAGCAAGAAAAGAGTAAACAATACAGCCACTTAAAAAAACAAAAGAAATATCCATAGCTCTGTAGTAAAAGCTGAAGTACTCGTCTGGTAAGCTTGGATCCAAACAGCTTCGTAATTTTCTATCTATATGCCTCATATCTTTTGCTGTGGGAATGGCAACTTTGCCAACCTTGAACAATAATAAATAATGAATGAATGGTTTGGAGCTGATCACCTTATAAAATAATGGGGCATTTAAATTCATTATAATTACCAAAAAATCAATTGCATTCAGAGACTCAATGAGCTGAGAAGTGCTGAGAAAATTGTGTTGTCGTGTGAGAGTTCTTTCCAAATATCTGTTGAGGAATGAAATAATAGAGTTTATGAGATGGTAAAGAGCATGATTCAGAACAAAATGAGGAATATAAACATAACTGAAAGGAAGATCATATACGAAATGTGTAAACAAGTTGAATAAAGGTTTTGAATAGGTGAGGAATGTGAAAAAAATACAGAAGGAAAAATGGGAAGCTCAAAAACCTTTCAAAATCGATAACATGGAGTACCTCGTTTGACTTGCGCAGGGCTGACAATGCTAACTGTGCATATAGCAAAGAATGATTAATCATGGGAGTAGGTTTAAGGTTTAAAATTAATAAGTACAGGTAAGAATGCAAAAAATATCATTCCGAATCAATGAGCTGCATTTCAGTGGTAAGTTTTGATGGTTGAAAGCCTTAAGAAAATAAGCATCAAAGTGGATTATTGACAAATCCATAATGGTTGAAAGCCTTAAAAAAACAAGAATCAAAGTGGATTATTAACAAATCCATAATAATTTGTCAATTCACTGTTACAATTACACCAGAAAAATATGCTGATATGCTATGGATCACTGTAATACATCGACTGACTTAATAATACAAACTAGAAATTATTAATCGATGTGATTATCAAAGTCGCCAATCAAAGTCCAATCATAACCATTTATTTGAAAGTTAAATTCTACAATTCTGAAAAATTGTCCTGTATTGCTGCGTTGTGTAATGGAGCCCTAGTGTTTCGGAGTAAAATAGAAACCTGTACCTGTTTGGCAAGGCTACTGTCTACAGAGTTGTTAAGAGTTGTTGATTTTGGTCAAAAAATTGTTGTGGTATTGATTGATATTATTGATTAAATGTCAAATAATAAACATTATAAATTTTATATTGCAATGATATATAAATTGATTTAAATAATAATAATTAATTAAAATAGCAAATTCATTTACTAAGGGGCCATTTGGGATCATATTTGTTTTTTATTTTCTAATTTTTATTTTTATTTTGTTTTGATTTGAAATAAACATGCTAAACTATTTCATTAAAGTATGAAAGTTTTTAAAAACACTTTCAACATCTAAAAATTGTGTGATTTTAACATGTCAATTTATTTTTAAAAACAAAAAAACAAAATTATGTAAAACACACACTAAAACCCAACCTGACTCTTACACAAGGTAGCCCAAACCCAAATTTCTTGTGTCAATTTAGAGTAGAGTTTACATATTGGATCCAATATTGACAACCCTAATCTTATTATCAAATACATTCATCAAACCTCAAGCATATAAATTGACTCATTCCAGTCACTAGGCCCACTTAAATTAAAAATGGCCCCCTCACCAAAATAGCTCTTCCATTGCTTTCTATGTATTGCATTTTACATCTCAAACTTATCCTCAAGAAGACCAGAACTAACTTTACGTAGTCTCTATTTCTAGCACACATCTATACTGCCATTCTTCTAATTTATAGCAATTGCAATCTCCAAAAAAAAATACATGCCATCGTTACATTAATAAAGCATGCAAGGCATACATAAAGAAAGGAGACATTGAAAACAGTGGTTAAGTTCCAAATGTACATGATTTGATTCATAGAAATAGTCAATAGAAGGGTAAAGCAGTGCACATTAACCACTCTTAAAACCCTATATTTGCTTTAAGGTCCACTAACAAATCTCTAAACCTCCAAATATGAGTTCAAAGAGAATTAGTCGTTGTCTGACTTATACTTGCACAAGTAAATTTTCTAATTCAAGAGTAGGAAAGAAAATGATGAAATTAGCATAAAAGTTATATAACATTCATATAGAAGTTTATAAATCAAATATATATTTAATGAAAAATATACAATACTGTGCCTCATATTTGCACTGTCACTGAAAAATGTAAGCTGATATAAGCACCATGGAGAAATTGGAAAGGGCATCTATCCTTATCAAATATTACCACAAACACGGTATTCTCAGAAACGAAATTCTCAGAAACCTTATAGACACAATTAAGACTCACATAAGCAGATTTAATGTTTTCTTAAAGCAAAAAAGTAGCTTGTGATTCAAATAAGCCAAAAGGTTTATCTTAATTAGAATTTTAGAAAAATAGTTATAATCATCAAATTTAGACGACAACAACAACAACATTTCTTAACATAAGTCTATTTTCATTTAGTTCTAACAAACTAAAATTAGTTTTTATACAGCACACCCAGTTCTTCTTAGACCTACCTTCGACATTTCTTAACATAAGTCAAATCTAAAATATATACTCTCATAACTGGATCATCAAATAACCGACGTTAATGTTACAAAATCATCTATGATGACTCTCTCTAATCTTGTGTGTCACTAGTGCGACAATAACCCTTTCGCAGAGCATTTTGTCTCTAATTAAAGCCACTCACCCGCCTAATCATTATCATCTCAGCAACACAGTTTTTTTTTTTTTTAATATAATTGTCAAATTTAAGCAAATTACAACAAAAATTAATTTATTTATTTTTTTTCTGCAATGAATTCTACAAAACAAAAGAGGCATTACACATAGTTATCTAAATATGTACAGATGTTTCATGAATTTCATCAAGATGCATGGACGTCTGCATATGCATGCATGTATGAATGCCTGTATGCACCAATCTATTCATGCCTCATTTCCACAGACATTCAAGTTGAAGTACTAATGTTCAGCACGGATTGTTAAGTGGATGATAGTTCACTATCAATATAAAAACACCCAAAAATGCAACCCTGCAGTTTCAATTTTTTCTTTACGTTATCCTGCTGAATGATTATGTAACAACGTATGTATGGAATGCATGCTCTTTATTACATGACATATCTAAATCATTTTTTTTTCAGGACTTTTGTTTCAAGCTTGTATACCAATTCTCATCCGTTTATTTCCACTGTCCAATCTTCAAAGCACCAGAAATGGTGAAAAATATCAGTTTTCTAAAGTCATATGCATAAAAAATAGAATAATTTTTAAGAACCATAGTACCTGCCCAGGAGGAAAGAGCAAAGGAGCATCAGTCAACATAGCTTTGTCCACCTCAAAACTAGCAGCTTCTCGCAGTTCCTATTTGGAAAAGAGAATTACATCAAAATACCAAAATGTTCATATCCGTTACATTATTAGTTTCAAAGAAGATACATTTAAAAATAAAAATTTGAAAATTCCTGCATGAAACAATTAAAATGTTGACATTGAAAATAACAAATCATACAGTAAATGCAATTTTGCACTGATGTGTACTTTGACAATTCCAGGTCTAAGCAGAAGCTTGTGCGCCAAAAATAGGTAAGAAGTGAGTGGCCAAGTTCTTCATAAATTTCAAACAGAATGTGACCAAAAAATCCATCAATGAAGATTGCATGGCCTGGTAAAATGTTAATTTAAGCCAACAAAAGAAAGATTCAGATTTTTTTTTACTCATTCAATCTTCATGTCATTGAACAAATAGGTTCGTTCGTCCAAAAAATTACATGTCCTCATTGTTTGTATTAGCAGGACTCCAGTAATAGATTAGAGACTACACATCACCCAGTCCTGCTAAACTATGGCTTTCCCCCTATCACGTGAGCATTTCTAACCAGACTACGCATCCATCAGGATGCTACACAGGAGCTTATTATAAGTATATGATCGTAACTGAAAAAAGAGAAAGGTTCTAACTAGATATCCTCAATCTCTCCTTCGAAACTTGACTAGTTCAATTAATAAACTATGAACACAGTGCAGTAGTGTTCAGGCAAAAGTACAGCGCTAAATTGGCAGATAAACCAGGTAAATTTCATTTTAAAGTTGTCTACATGGTTTTAAAAATCGGACCAGACAGGCAGGTTTGATTGATTAACAGTCAGTAGATCATTCGACCGCTTTGATCCAAGTTCAAAACTATTTCTAATTAAAATCGGGATTGAACTATCGAAACCAGGATTTGAACCGGCGATCCGGTGAACCAGTCAGTTCTAATAGAATCCAAACTTAGCATTTTTAATTTTAATCGGATGGATAAAAAAAAAGGTAGGAAAATTAAAAATAGAGAAAATATCCTCTCTCAAAATTATGATTTAAAATATTATTCAAAATATTCAAAAATGAAATTTCCTAAATTAAAATATTATTTATTGAATTGATAAAATAAAATAACTGTCATTATAATATTATTTGAATTATATTAAAATAATTTTAATATTTATTACATCTTCAATCGATGTTTCAATTGAACCATTAAACCTTGAATCACTCATTCCAGTTCGATATCCGATCTGATTTTTACAATCTTAGTCTTCTAAGTGGGCATACAACAACAACAATAAGCCTTTATCCCACTAAGTGGGCGGCTACATGAATCCTTTTCTCCCTTATGTTTTATTGAGTGTCATATTTTCATTTAATTCTTATGGATTAAGATCATTTTTTATATAATATGCCAAAGTCTTCTTAAGTCTACCTCTGCCTTTTTTAACATAAGTTGAATCTAAAACATCTACTCTCCTAGCTGGATCGTTAGATAGTCGACGGCTGGATCGTTACTCTCCTAGCTGGATCGTTAGATAGTCGACGTTTAATGTGACCAAACCATCTAAAACAACGCTCTCTAATCTCGTCTACAATTAGAGCTACACCAGCCCACTCATGGATAGATCGTCTAGCATTTTGTCTTTAAGTGTCAAGCCACTCATCCACCTAAGCATTCTCATCTCAGCGACACAACTTTATTTTATGCTTCTCTTTTAAAAGCCAACATTCTGCACCATAAAGTGTTCCGGTTCTCACCACCATCTTATAAAATTTTCCTTCAAGTTTGAACAGTATTTTTCTACCACACAATAGGCCTAATGCATTCCTCCACTTCAACCAACCAACCTAAATTCTGCTAATAACATCACCATTTATATCCCCATCACTTTGAACAATAGATGTGCATGTGAGCATAAAATATCAAATACTAACATATCTATTCATGGAAAATTCTTGATGTATTGGTACAGTTTCAACATACAATGTTCTTTAAAATTCTTTCTTTTTGTCATTAAATCAAACCAAAAAATTTACGGTTGATGAGAAACTTAAGGGTTTATCTTCCCGGGAAAAGTATTTTTGCTATGAACTTCGAATCAAATCTGATCAAGGTTTGATTTAATCTCAACCTCCCTAATCAGGTTGTATAATAACAAATAAGAGGAAAGCTATGGGTTGTGAGGGAACCAGAGAACATTAAAAAGGGAGAGGCAGAGAGAAGTAAAGAGAAGAGAGAAAAAGTGAAGAATAGAAAAAAGAATAAAAAGAGGAAATAAATGAATCAGAGAGCTGACTACGTAAAAAAGAAGAGAAGTAAGGAGAGGGAGATTACCCTACTTTTGAACATAGTGCAAGCATGAAAGTGTTGGTGCAAATGCTATGATGTTGAAGACAAACATGATGATGCCAAAATAGTCAATGGATCTAAAGTGCATATTCGTCAGGAAAATTCCTTTTTTTATGAACAAGAACTAAAAGTTCAAGTTTTTTATCTACTTCTTGAAGTCTTTTATTGCCTGTCTATTTTCTTTTATAGGATCATACTAAGAAAAAGTTAAAATCTGACCATCTTAGGGTGGGGCGGTTGTTGCTTTTTCAAGAAGCTGCTGTAAAGCTGCTTCCTAGAGAAACAACTTTTTAGGAGCTGGCAAAAGGCAACTAATGAAGAAGCAGGTGTCTGTTTGGGAAATCTGCTATGTTGCTGCTATTTCTGTTGAGAAATACTGTTTTACCTTTATACATGTAATATATTCAGAATTTAATAACAGAAATAGTTCGTACTGCTAAAAATTGACAATCCAATCCAAATACTCTAATACATAGAAAAAAGATTAGTTGTTTGAAGCAAAAGACTACAACAACAAGAACAACAATGACAATCATCAAGTCTAGAATGATGTTTGACTTGAAATCATGATGATAAAGTTTTTGGGACAATATCCTCTCCATCTCTGCATCTCTCCTCGACTGATCACGTCTGGAGGTACCTCGTCAGTGCATCAACCCACTGAAAGTAGTCGCAATCTGCAGGAGTCCTTTTTTTGGGACAAAAATAAAATCTTCTCCCGTAGCTAGCTTCCCTCCTAGACTGGTATTGAACACACTTGTCGCTTTAATGACAGAGTGGAACTTTCAAATTACTTGATGATCTTGAGCTCATGTTTCTTGTTATTATAATAAAATATTTCTCTAATTAAAAAAAATTAAGTTGATACAACATTCAAGAGATTCTAAAAAAAATATAAGCAGTCTTAATATTAAAAATTAAAGCTTATCGGTGCAAAAAGAAAAGAAAGTTACAACATAGTTTGTTATATATATTTTGAAAAAATACATCTAGAGATATACATGAAGATGAATTATAATCATCAGCTACAAATAACTAGATGATGCTACATAAGCAACGTTGTTGCATTCACCAAAGCATCAGTAATCTACTCTCTCAACTAAAACATCTCCTCGACACCTCCCTCATAAGTGTTGCACTCGTTCGTCCTACATTCCTCTTCTTGCACTGAATTTCCGGCTTGATGTTGGTTAGCTTCCTCGGGCATGTAGGTAGGATTGTCATCTAAGACCCTAAAATCAATATTATCTCGAGATAGATGCCTCCATATAAAATTATGGATACAGTTTTTGCAACAACTAACTTGACCACTTTTTTTGAAAGAATATGCAGACGTATCTTGGAGTATGACCCACTTCTTCTTCCATACACCGAATGCTTGCTTGATAATACTATGTAATGACGAGTGTCGTTTGTTGAACAACTCATTCCTCCCTCTAATCACTTGACTGCTGAGCTCAAAGTCGGATGTGATATCTTGTGTCAGGAAATGATTTCAAAAAGCCCCATTGCAATGGATATCCCAAATCGACCATATAATACTTTCCTGAATAAAGATAACATAACTAGATTATTTCAAATAGAAATATAATAGTGATAAATTAGTTACAAGCACCAATTATAGGGAGGCATCCGAAATTTATATTCGGGTCATCGGGTTGCAAATTTAAATATACTGTTGTCACGAGCACTCCCTTCCTAACCAGTCATCACGAACGTGAAACACATGTTGAAATCACGTACTGCTAATATGTTCTATGTAGCAGTTCCACACCTACCGATATAAGCTATTTTTTCCTAATTCCCCATGAGTGCGTCAACATGCATTCCATCAATTGCTCCCATGCAGCCTTTATTATAAAAAAAATGACAACTTAAGTAATTTATAATTTTCCTTTCATTAATTGAATGATGAATAGTGAGTGAGTTCAATACCTTGAAAAACGGCACGTACCTCAGATCACTATGAATTTCCCAAGGTGTTTGAGCACAAGATGGGTCCAATTGTTTGACGATGTCCGTAGCCATTTTAACTAGAGTTAACCCCAACATAGAAATACCTGTTGATCGTCTATGTAGAGTGTTGGAAACACTCAGAAGCTGCACAAATGGACTCATTATACAACATAATGAAAAGTGTGATAGCTAGGACTTCTCAGAATGTAAATCACAAAGATCCATGCAAACCATATTTGGATTGAAATTCATTGAATACATCACATAAAATAATTTTTGACACCCTGAACATGATGTGAATTCGGCTTGGATGAGCTTTCATTAGTTCACCAACCCATTTGTCACCCACAGATGACGATGAGACATAAGGTGTCTTACAAATGTGTCTTCGGTAGTACTCATGAATCAGACAAATTGTGCAGGTATTTTGCTCAACAATCTCTATAAACTCCTCATTTGGTGGCTCCATTTGTATGAAAGAATAATGTAAAGTTTATTTCAAAAGAATATGTTATTCTTAGTGCAGGTAAATGCTCAAAATGCACGCAATAAAAGTGTTAAAACTACGAAAATCTAAAAATAATCAAACATCAGAAATAGTACACACAATCTATAGTTTACAACAGAGATGTCAAATACTACAAATAATCACTCTGCCATAGTACCAATAACTAAAAAACATGTGCATGACATCTAACTAGTCAGACTATCTAAAAAATAACGGAGATAAGGAATCCTAAGTTCAGAG